CAACCTCCAGGACGACTTGGCTGTCATTACAAATTTGGGCGTATTATGATGGCCATTGCTATCTTTGAAAAGGCTAATGATATTAATCACAAGATGTGATATAATGAGATAGATATACATATAAATATCATATTACTTATCATTTATCAACTTGACATACCTGATGTCAGTTATACATGTCCAAGTTGACATATCATTATTACTTCACAATTATTACATGTTAAGTACCTACATTTGACCCTGATTAAGAGTGCACAGTGTTGTAAAACTGGTGTTTCAACTTGGGGGTGTCTGTAAATGTTTGAATGATTTGTTGTGCAGCCAACATCCAGTAAAAATTAGCATCCAGTTATCATGTAATTGATTTGTTATGCCTAATTGTAAACAGGGTATCCAGTACATACAATCATTTTACTGTCCTGCTGTGCAATAAGTATCATGGTATTCTTTATTTTCTGTATCAAATTCTGAAATTCTTGCAACAATGGATGAAGAATAGCCGTACTTAAGTTCTACAATAGGAAACGATTTTGATGGATTGCAAATATTTTGTATGCATTTAAGTGTAATTCAGAGCATAGAATGAGCATTATCTGACATTTGTTGCTATTTAATAGCAGTGTTTATTCCTCTCAATTAAAAAACAACTTGTGTCAGGTGTACCATGTCTCGTAAAAGTTATAAATAGATAATAGCTGCTTATTGCATCACCTTATGCACTTATTTACAAGCTCACAGAATTTATGTGTTTACCAGTTTCTGTTGTCATGATATGTCATTGAAAAATCTTTCAGATCTTTGCAATGGAAACCCCAGTTTATACTATAGCTCGGTGTGAATTTCGGAAGCCAACTTGGAGATCTGAGGTTCAACCCTCAAGACTTTCAATTCAAATTTTCTTTAGTCAGTTATGCAAATTCTAAACTGTGTGTTTTTGCTTATGGAAAGCTATAATTCCTTGATATGTGGTAATCATTGCAGTAAACTATTGCTGATGACCTGCTAAATTTGATCGTTCATTATCAGGTTGCCTGTTTTTCTTCTTTTTTTTTTTTAGCTTGATCCAAAACACATTTGGTGTTGATATAGAATAAGGAAGTTAACTCTCTGCTTGGCTTTATCTCTCTTGAAAGCTTCAGAACATTAGGAAGCTAAACTAGATTTCATACCATTTAGCAAAATTAAAAAGACCTTCAATATAAGAAAGAAAGAATTGTGTGAAGTGTTATAAGGGTAAAGGAAGTTAAATATTTTTATCTGAATAAATCTTCTTACTTTCATCTCAGTCCCCATTCAAGATATCACATAGTCCAAACAATACCTTTCATATTTCAAATGTCATTAAGTTGGCCTTTGAAATAGAAAATTAGAATTGTGTATAGCTTTTCACACAAATTCTTCTTATGACATTTAAGTTTTTGTTTAAGAAAATTATTGTGTCTTAAATTGGAAGGAAGTCAAAATATTTGTATGGTTTAAGATTTGGTGTTATGTACATTGTTGAAAAGATCTTCTTGAAGCGGTCATATTACCTTCTATTTATTACTATTCATACAATAACAATTATAAATATTTTATGTCTTTCCTTAACTGTTGAATCATGTTTGAAATAAATAGTATTAAAGTACTGGTACGCATTGTGTTGCATTTATTGTAATTAAGGGTGGACCAAGAAAATCTCAAGAATTTGTTTAGGTGAGCAAATGTGATAAAGCACTCAAATTAGAGTCAGAATAACCTGATACTCATGGCCAATATTGTGTATTTATTAAGCATATATTACAGCTTGGGTATATGTACATGAAAAATACCGATACTCATACGGTTATGAACATAACTTGATACCACATTACATTGTTACCTGATTTCAGCTTAATTGTCACTGATAGAGCATCCACAATTTAATATGAAAAATTCAAATGATTTGCAATTACACATTCCAAGGTGCAGGATTATACCAAAACGATATTCAACAATAATCAATCAACATGTCTGTTCTGTTGTCTTCACAGATAATTTGTTTGCATTGTTTGCATGTTAAGACTGGATTATCCTAGCTATATCAATATTTACAGATTATCAACCAATCTGCCACGTTAATAGAGGATAATATGTGTGTAGGATTAGGAAAGTGTTGGGCTAGATTAAAAGATTAACGTTAGTTGGCTGATGCAATTTTTTATTGGCTGTCTTATTTTTACTTAAGTCATAATGTCAATCCTAGAAAAACCTGACAGCTGAATGAATGGATAATTTGTATTTCTTGTAATATATAATTATCCTTCAGCAACATTTAGGAGTAGAGATCACATTAAATAACATAACACAATATTATGGTATACTACTCCTGGGTTTTATTTTACACAATTTTTCAACAATTTACACTGTTACAATTCAATATATTGACATATGTTGTGCATCACTATTTATTTCTATCAAAAAATTAGTTAAAAAATCTGCTAAAGAATATCTGAAGAATCCACTTTTTTGAATAGCTTATTTTGAAATAATTTAACCTGAAGACTATTTTCAATGACCCTGTCAAATCAACATGACATGAAAAGTGTCTTTTTTTGTAGTCTGAGATATTCACGAATTCAATAATTCGCAAAGTTGGAAATAGGTGCAAATATTTAGTATTATAAATGGCTTTTAAGAGATTTGGTCATGGCCTTGGGCCCAATTTTTCACCCTTATTATTATTATGGCCTTGTTTTTCAGATTTGATTAATTGTTGTTATACGCTGTAGGTATTAAAAGTAAAAGAGCAAAGTCTCTTTCTAAGATATAAAAACTTCTCAAAGTAAAAAGAATGGAAAATAGATGGAGATGATACACAGAAAAATTACATCATGGTTTAGACAGGTTTATACTCAGACATCAAAATCAAATAAAATAGTTTGATGTCTGATCCTAGTGAATAAATTATAAACAGTGTAGTCTGAAACTGTCTGATTCTCAACCAGCTTCTAATAGATATTTGTCAGTCAATCAAGAGAGTCACAGAGACTAGACCATATTATTTTTTAATATGTGACTGAGTGAATTAGACACTTGCTTAATAACCTGAAGGTCCAGGTATCAAGCAGGTGGAAATGACCTATTCTCAGGGATGTAAGGTTGAAAATGGAAAAGATTCTAGGAAAATAGTGTAAAAAGTGTCAATAGAGCATGGAAAATATTTCTGACTCTAGTCAGACTGACAATCTTTAAAGATAGAAATGTCAGCCAGTTTCGGACTGGGAACAGTGTTATTTAATTACAGATTAGCTTTGTTATGTAATATATTCAACAACACATTAGTCTTAATGTGGTGACTTTATATATATTTAATATGGATTATTCACTAATTATATACATTGTGTTTTCTAGATTAGGAATATTTGTCCACATGTGGCAAAAATTGAAAATTTTAATATCCTAATTAACCACAATATTTATTGAAATTTTGGGTGAAACATTCATCTGGGATATTACTTTTGAGTTGTGAAGCAATTTTTCAAAAAATCTATTTCCATTAGTTACTCTAGTAGATGTTAACATTGATATTAATTTTTAATCCTGAGAGCTGGTAGAAACAAATTTAATATTGGATGTTAGAGTATGAATCAACATTCATTGATAAATTTACTGTCAACAATAGGCTTCTACCTGCCTGAGGATACAAAATAAATATTTTATCTTTTGCCATATTATCAATTTATCACTCAATTTCTGCCCATTTTTTTCTATCACCAACAATCTAACAAGGTGTGATTTTATCTGTACTGTTTATTATAATTGGCAATGGACAAAGTTGATGAATAGACAAACAGATATTCTATTAGGACAGTCAACTTGCAAATTAAAGGCATTGTAAAGAGGTTATGAACAATGATGTCTAGCTCTCAATCCTTTTCCTTTCTTACTTTATCTAGTAGGTATATCAAGAGCACTTTAACCGTGTATTGTATACAGATCATAGTTGCATGTTGAATATATAATCTAAGTCTGAATTAAAAGAATGAGTGTTAGAAACCACCATGCTAAAACTGAACATTTTCTGTTTGAACTGCTATATTTTTTGCATTACTAAGTGAGCCACAGACGTCATGAACATGCATACAATAGACGATCCATGTTACCTACATTATATTCAATACTATTGTTGGAGCAATAAGCTCAAATCAATAGATAATTTATAATGGTAAAATCAATGATCTGTAAATATAGGTGTGTTGATATGTTGACGTTTTTTATTGCAGTTCAGTTTTATAATATTAAGTAATGTTTTATATATGTTATATACTTATAGGCCTACTGTTAATGTACAAATTTCATTGAAATATATCTATAACATGTATATATAAATTATATGTAGGCTATAGAAATGTTATATTATTCTTTATCTTCAATGTATTGCATGTAATAAATGTGTTGCGTATTTAAAGGGACATATTCGCCATTTTGGGGAGATGATTTGAGTCTTGAAAATTTGTACATAGTCGACAGAAGTTCTAGAAATGTACATAATTCTTTCTCAAACTAGGAATTTATTTTCCTATTTCTATAGATGTCTTTTCTATAAATGGCAGTGTGATTTGTGAACACTATAGGGAAATTGAAATCAAAGCTATATGATCATAACATTAGCTGATGTAGAAATCAAGCTGGTAATTGTTTAAAGTGGAATGCTATAGATTTAATGGACATTTCTTGTTAGGCTTCTGTTATAAATTGTATATTAAATTGACAAAAGATGTTGATATGTGCAGTATGTTTTTCAAAATAAGTTGAAGGATATTATGTTGATTGAAAGGATTTGAGGAATTTATTTGGTATATATGACCTAGTTTACAAATATTTACAGAATACTGTTAAAACATTTATCATATACCTTGAATATTGAAATAAAGATAAAAAAGTATATAATTAAACAAGAAAGAAACTTGCTATATCACAGATTATTAAACCATTATTTAGATCAAAATATAAAGGTTAAGTTATTTTTTTTATTTCAGGATTACTTTCTGTCAAATCAAACTCTACACCAAACACGAAAAATAAAAAAGGTGATGCAGGACTATTAAATGAGAGTGGTGTTTCTCCAACTAGAGAGGGTCATGTAAATCCAGCATTCAACAATGAAAGTGGCATCATCTCTATGGAAGAAGGTAAATTTAATGCCACAGAATTTTAAAGGGGGGCTCACAGGAAATTCCTCTCAATGTACAAAGATAAGACATTTTAAGTAGTGAATCCAAAAGTCGGGTTAGCCCCAACCAACATACATCACCAACCACTGTTCAAAGGCTACTAATTATATTGTATGTTTGCAGGAGTTTGTTTTCCTGATGTTTGGATTTTGTCATATTTTCAATGATTTCTTGACTTCAACTACAATCTAATTCAATTCAATCAATATGATTTGTTTCATATATTCACTGTGGGAGACTTACCGCTTATGATTTGATGAAATTTGTTTGACTGTTAAAAGTTGTCAAATGTTAAAAGTTGTCAAAATTCATGCTGGTAGAAAATGGCTAATAATACACTTCAGTGAACTACTAATACTACAAAAACCACAAACAAAACGATCAAAACTCATTTTTATCAGATTGAATGGATTATACGTTCAAACAGCATGCCATTTAGCTTAAAGTAGATAAATGATTCATTTTGTATATATTTAAAATAATGAATTCAACAACATACTTGAAACATTGGATATCTGATTGCATATGGAGTAAAACTTGTTATTGTGGATTAAAATGACAAGATTTCTTCTTAACAAAGTTTCTTAATGTCAAAAAAAAAAACTTTTTAAAAAGCTGACACTTTTTTAGAATGATATATTTTGACATTTTAATACAGGAATGTCTTCTTTATGAGGACTGACTGAATAATAAAATTATGATGAAGTTATCTGTGATAATATTGACTTGTTTATATATTGAATATAGACATTAACCCTATCATATAGCCCTGATTAAACTACCTAATATTACTATCAGAGAAATAGAAACTTGTCACATTCTTTTATTGACACTTTCAAGTAGGATTAATAGAAATATGATAAAATTTACTCTGACTCAACCAAGATAAATTTAAAATCAAATCAGTACAAATCAAAAATGAATACTAAGTTATGAATACATTATCATAAAGGAAAAGTTTTCAAAATGAATGTTACAAAATGTGTAAACCTGCTAATACACTAGGTACAGTGTTCAGTAGAAATAGAATATAGAAGAAATTATTACATATGATAGAGGACTAGACACGATTTGTTTTTTCTATGTTCTACTGTATCATTGATCCTGTATCATACACAGCACCCAATACTATCCATTGTCTATTTATTACTAGACCAGAAATTGTTTTATCTCTTTACCTATCCATGTCAAGATTCTACTTAGCCACTTATTTTTAATTTCAAAATTGGGTATATGTAATAATCAATTACTTTTTCAACAGATTGGCACAAATTTTCATATTGTCAAATCAATTTATTATGTCTGAATGGTATCAAGGACAAAAACCTACGCAGGTTGACCAGTGTTTTTAAACCTAGTAAAATAAATAATAGTCACATTAAAAGTTAGTCTGGAATGTGGTATTAGTATGATAAGAATAAATTACCCTATAATTACATTGGAGACTAACTGTTAAAACTACTTCAGTTGATAGTAGATATAGCAAACTAAACTAGCCCCCATTTCTGAAAAAATCTTACAATTTTCATTCTTAGCATTAAATATATTTTTCAGTTTAAAATTCAACATTTCATTTATAAGTTTTTATCATATTTTAAAAACAGGGCTTAAGGTAAAAAATAAGAACAGTGACGTCCTTATGTTCAGGATTTGAATCCCTGAGGAAATTCAGTTCAACAATTGCATAGAAATTATGTTTTAAATATAGAAGTAAATGAATGAATCATTTTGAATAAAAATTAAATTAAAATAGATATGAATTCTTTTGAAATGAAATCACATAATTTACAAGGACTGCAAGTTGGTTCTGTGTCAAACCAGGACTCTTGATAATGATCTTTTCCTGATTATCCATACCCATTGATAGCTTTCTGGTAGTATACAAATACTCTAACCTAAAACCTTGTAAAACTTTTAGGTTTAAAATGAAATTAAATTTCTTTATTCTGTAACAGCAAGAAAATGACTGAAAATGGATGTCTTATTTTATGATCTTTTGGAAAATCAGTCAATTTACATCATCCCCTGACAAGAAATAACTTTTATTCAGACCAAATCTGTTTGCCAAAAAAATGTTTAAAGTGTAAAACTTGACAAGTATAATGATGTAAGTAAATAGTAGTAAAATGTTCTTATCAACAACTTCAACTTTCATATCACTGGAAAAAATGCAGTTGAAAAATGTCAACACCCAGTGCAGTTTTATAACATCCATTAGTGTTGAGGACAAATGGGTATATGCACTAAACAAGATTGTAACTGTACAATACAACTAGTGTGCAATGAAGTTGAAAGAGAATCTCTAGACCATGGACATTTTAATATTACATATTCTGAAAATTGAATAGAAATAGCCCTTTGTTAAAACAAATTCAAATGATAATTTATGGCAACGTTAATATGATTATCATAGGAAAGTCATTCTAAAACCATTCTTATGTATGCATTAATATGAATTTCCTCCAATGTTTTTATTGTTAGCTTTCATGCTCTTCAAGCTATAGTGCAAATTGTCAAGGTATTGAATTATTAACTTCTATTCATAGGTGTGATATCAGCTCAGAAATATTTGATAAAAATAATTCATACACACACAGTGAAACCTATCATAAAATAGTAGTACAATAAAAATGGTAATAAATGAAATATGTCAGTCCCTAAAAAATGAGAAGGAAACATAAAAATGTCAGATTTCAAAAGATAAGTATAATAATTCAAAAATGAAAAAATGTTCATAGGTCAAAGAATAATTGTATTGTTACATTTATATAAATAATACTACAAAGAAAATTGTATATAATATTAAAATGTCTCTGTCTTTCAATTTACCTAAGGGAGTCTGAGTCTCTCAAAAACCTTTTTGTCAACCTTCTTCATTATCAGGTGAAATTAACAATGATAAAACAGCATGCTTCCTTGAGATGGAACAATAAACCCAGGCCAAGTTGTGCAACAGGATGTGTACATTATAGATCCTCCAGATAATGTAGGCTAATGTCACTGTCTTGGCATAATTTCAAATCATTGTACACTGAACGGTATTGCTTCATCACTGCATTTAATTATTTCTGAGAATTTATAAGGCATTTTTTCCATATACTTCAGTGGGCAAGCAAAGTTCAAAGCCCTTTTATAATGGTAGAAAGCTTTTTGCCACATGGACAGCTGTAGGTTATTAAACCTTGATCTTTTCATTGTGTGTAATTCAAGTTAACTTTAAAACATTTCAAGAGATATTTGATGAAAATATTTACATGTATACAATTGTGAATTAAAACAGGAATGAATAGACACTTTAAAATCTGCCCTCAAGCAAAACAGTTTTTTTCTAGTTGACCTGTTTCAGGTAGAAAGTCACCAGTGACAGTGTTGTACTTATAACATAATTAATTTACATTGTAGAACAAGTATAATTTATAACTGAAGACATTCAACATAAATTATAATATCATTAGTGTCTTACTAGATTTATACTACAACATTTTTACATTTCACATTGTCTGCTTCATTTATTAATGAAATTTTTGAATCCTGTATTACAGTTCGCAAAGATTTGAATTTTACTAGTTCTTCCTGTGTAGGAATAAGATACTTGAATCCTGAAATTTGATAAAAAGAATATTTACATTTACAACTTCAATTTGATTCAATTACAATTCATACACTTGGACTAAGTATTGGCAATAGAAGAAAAAGAAAGAAACAACCATTTTTACAAAGATCACAAGGATCCTTTCTACCAGTTGGCCAAACCTCTTGGCATTGATATGTCTGGCATCTGATTATCCATACTGGACTGCAATAATTCTCTTATTCAAGGAAACCAAATTTCAGGCACCAAAATTAAAACCCTTGACCACCATTTGCTTGATGTGACCAAACAGATGACCTCATGTTAAGTTTTCAGTTTAACCACTGTACCACAGAACCCCCTAAGAAATATTCTAATAGTATTAAATCTAACCATAGAAAACTGCCAATTTACCAAGTTTGTTGGGTTTGTTAATTATTTCATATCATATTTTAATTATTTAACTCATTATTATTCATGGGTGGAGGCTAAGAGTTGGCAGATGTCATATATGTCTCCACAAAATATACATACACAAAATTTAAATTGGATAATAATCCACAAATTTACCTCTTCAAGAATATGCATCTAGTACATATCAATGAAATTTGTTACCTATGAAAATGATATGACAGTATATGGGAATATTATACCCTATAAATCAGGTTACTTATCAAATACTTGTTGATATTAAATAAGAGACTTGTTGAATTATAACTAAGACTTTATAATAATAAAAATAGCTATTTTCACATTCCTCTCTAAAATGATATGAAACCAAGCGTACAATGAAAATCTCTACTAACAATATACTTTCTTTATAATGAAAGCCTGTGTCACCTTGTATCTTATGCTAGAATGAATTTCAAATATTTTCTTATCAAAACCCCCCATTTACTTACCTAGAAGATGTATTCAAGACTATTAAATTGATTTTATAACATGATAGAAATATCAAGTCTTTATAAGCTTATAGTATTTCTATTATTAAGGGTAGTATAAATGAATTATTCTTTAAAGGTTATAATAGAAAAGTATGATTTGAAATTTGACTAATAATATTTATCAAAACCTAAATGAAATGATATTGATGAAACATTTACTGGAACTTACAGAAAATACATCTTAGATGATATAATTGTATAATGTTTTCTAATATTTGATAGAAACATCAATATTTTAATATTTTCACTATATTAGAATCTTTGTACTACAACGTTTGTAGGGCATCCTATAATATAACTGGATTCAAGTATTTGAGAAAATTTAGACAACCTGACAACAAGAGATATACCATAGCCTTATAGATATTTTGATTCCATAAAGTGTTCTCAATACCTGAAATTGAGCTCTATCAACTACTTAACAATTTGAATATCCGAATATACCAGATAGTTTAACTGAAATATTTTACTAATAATAGCAATGAAAAAACTCAAGATAACTGTATCTAAGGTTATGATTATTTAACAGTAGGGTGAGGTGAAAAACTCTCCAAGTAAATAATAAACATTCCAGAACCTCTCCTATTAACTCAAAGATGAAATTAGATCATCTCAAATCTAATACTCCACATTTCAATTTTGTTTGAAGAAATGATAAGAGTCACTTCTATTATTATGACCATGAACTTGTTAAAAAATAAATCTAAAGGTAAATAGAAAAGGATATCTAAAAGTGTAATTTTTCTGGTGTATTGAATTAGGTTTAAATAATCAACTATAAAATATGATTTGTGTCTTCATTATATACATAATACAGCTATTTACATGATACAGCTATACACATAATACAGCTATATACATGATGCAGCTATACACATGATACAGCTATATACATAGTACAGCTATATACATGATACAGCTATATACATAATACAGCTATATATATAATACAGCTATATACATAATACTGCTATATACATGATACCGCTATACACGTGATACAGCTATACACGTGATACAGCTATACACATGATACAGCTATACACATAATACAGCTATATACATAATACAGCTATACACATAATACAGCTATATACATGATACAGCTATATAAGTAATACAGCTATATACATAATACAGCTATACACATGATACAGCTATACACATGACACAGCTATATACATAATACAGCTATATACATGATACAGCTATATACATGATACGGCTATATATACATAATACAGCAATATACATAATACAGCTATATACATGATACGGCTATATACATAATACATCTATGTACATGATACAGCTATATACATGATACAGCTATATACATAATACAGCTATATATATAATACAGCTAATATACATGATACAGCTGTATATATAATACAGCTATATACATGATACAGCTATATATATAATACAGTAGAATACAGTAAAATACATAATACAGCTATATGAGGATGTTTTTCAAGGACAAATTGAATTGCAAATCATTTCTTTATTATGCTCAAATGAACATATATATGTCAACTGGCATAATTTTTAGATTTCTGAATCATTTCATTATGTGGCTTGAATATCTAACTTTTTCAATGGATATATGATATTGAAATTGATAAAACCAGTTCATCACATTCTTTGATTTTCGTATTTGTGACTATTTGTACTATTGTGAAATCATAATTTATGAAAATATTTAGAATCAGTTTCTAGATATATGTATGAAAAATCTGATGACACTGAGGGTGAAATTTTCTTAGCATTACTTTGTGTCACGCAAAGCTGCCACTTTGGGTTTGTGTTTACTTATACTACTGGAATTTAACTGTATATATTTGTGTATTACAGGTACTGGTGGGTTTAAAGATTTCACATCACCAGATCATAACAAGGTATGTTATTATAATAAATAGGAATAATGACGTTCTTGTATCAGCCTGCAAGTCTCAGCACCCATGCAGAGATGCCACAACAATTTGGTTTGAACTGCAAGATATCACAAAGCATTGGTATATACCCCAACACCAATTTATGAAATAAGATATTTTTGTAATCTGATTACTTGACTTATCTATGAGAAGAGTACATCAATGAAAACATAAGCTAGCTATTATATTTTCTGTCAAGTTATGCAAGAGTTGTTGACAATCTGTCCCCAGTTCATTTTAATAATTAAATATGCATCAACTATTTTTCTATATATTACTATTCTACTCTCCTAGAACCTTACAACTATTATTCCTAATGGAATAACATAGACCCTTTTTACAAATTCAATAATATTTTTCTTGGTATTTCTGTCCACTCCCTGATCTCTTGTTCTATTGATATAATTTGATGTTATTTTAAAGCTATTTTCTTTACAGTCACCCAGTGGTAAAGATATCAATCAGAAGACTTGGGCATCATTACCAGGCAATGATTTCTCTTCTCCATTTAATCGACAAGGTAGCTGTGGATCATTAGATGATAACTATCTAAATGTGGTAAGTATATCATAGAGTGTACAAGTTCAGTTGGGAAAGGGTTGCTTCTTTTAATTATATCTCAGCATGTCTATTCTCATATATATTTACATTTCCCTTGCCACAAATTAACACCTTGTTCAACAAATATTTTTGTTTGTGTGCCATTTTGAATGCAAATGATTATCCAAAACATCAGGTCTGCTATTTGTTGTGAAATCCTACATTAAACCAACCTATTATTTCATAGGAACTTACATGGATTTTCGGACAATGTTGCATTACTGCAGATATTCATAGATTCACAAGAATAAGTTGTTATCCTGAGTCAGTTGCTAAATGGTTTTGAAACTTTTTAGATTAGTTTCTCACAAAAGAGACAAAGGTTTCTGACCTTCAAATTTGTCACTTAAGTTTATAATGCCTTAAAGTTTATAACCAAATAACATAAGAAAACTAAATAATTTAAGTTAAATTTCTGATACTAAATGGTATAATTTTCTTTAAATTCCTTGTTTTCTTCTGCAGGATAAGCATAATAGTTTGGTACTTGTATATACTTATTTTATTCATTCCTAGTCGCTTTTAGATTAGATGTAATTTAGCCTTGTCAGCAGCCATCTTTTTCAGTTTTACATTAGCATTAGAACTATCTAGCATAATCTAAATTATTGCTTGTAAATGATTGTTTTTATGTTTGCTTTTTTATTAGAGTAATTTGTCCACAATATGATCAATACAAATACTTTCTAAATTTACTTAAAGGGGCAGTATGCACAATTTTCATTATTAAAAACATCTTAAATACCTGAAATGATTGTTATTTATATCTTCTTGACCAAACTGAATTTGTTTTAAAAGGATTGAATAAAAACAGAGAGTGCTGATAGTTGATTGAGCAGTTTGACCTAGTTTTGGTGTTTCGCTTTATAATGGCTTGATATTATTAGTTGAAACCTATCGAACATGTTACATGTTAGTTTTATAACAGCTTCCAAAAAGCATAACGAACATTAAAAGTTAACATAAACTTTTTAAAATGAATATGGCTGGATTTTTTTAGTTAAAACTTTCAGATGCATTAAATGACACATTTCTCCAGATTTTGGTGTACAGTTTTCACAAGTTTGAGCAAAAAAATATTTCGACCTACAAAAAAAGCAGAATGCCCCTTTAAATATGTATAGATGTGTTTTATTCAATACAACTATTGATAATTTGATCTAGATTTTTACTATTTTATAAATTTTCTCATTGCACACTGAAGAGTGTTTATTCTGCCCTACGTCATTTTGATTTGAAAATCAAATTATGCTGTTTTAGTTTGAAATGTCTTATTAGCTTCTGCTTCTGTTAATGAAAATACGAAATCATTTCGCAATGGAATATTAGTTGATTTGAATCCTTATTACTTATTAATTTTCCTCGCCCAACTAGAATATTGATTACATGTTGAACTGAAACACCACAGCACCGCTGTCAAAAATTTGGAATTTAGTGAGGCAGAATATCCAGTAGTATTATACAGTAGAAGATATCAAATGCACCAATTAAGGTTCTTAAGTTTATTTTTTTTACTGTGACTGTTCTTGCAACAGGCTACATTATGTTATCTGATATTTTATAATTCTAGGATCCAGAAGTAACAAGTGTCTGGTTACAAAGTCAAGATTTTATTGGTCTTGGTTTCAATATATCTGGTAATATGAGAGATGGTATATTTGTCAGTCATGTCCATAATCGTGGTCCAGCTATTGAATCAAATAAAGTTAAAATTGGCAAGTACAATTTATTAACATTTGACAATTTAGGAATCCTAAAGATAGTGGACCACAGCCATATCCGCCCTTCAAGGCATGCTGATGGTAAAAACGAAACATCCATTCTAAGTTTCATCAAAATCGGTTGAAAACTAAGAGAGTAATAGCATATTCAAGATTTTGAGGCAAGGGCAATAACTCTGCTTCTAATGGTCAAAAATAGCTCAAATTCGAACTTGATCTTCGTTTTATAAATATGTATACACATACCGAATTTCATTTGATTCTATCAAAAAATCTAGTTTTTAGAGTGTTTACAAGCAAATGTTGACAGACAAGACGGACTGTGAACGGACGGAGTGTTTACAAGCAATTGATGTTGATAGAAGCACTTACTGTATACAGGTTAAAGGGCGATAACTCCTTAAAACTGACGTAAGAGGCCTAAATCTTGAAAAAGCCTTAAATTTATTCAGAAGTAAACTAAACTTTCTCAAACCCTCCGATTTAGGTCCAATAACATCCATTTTAAGTTTCATCAAAATGGGTTGAAGACTAAGGGAGTATTAGCATATTCAAGATTTTGGGGCAAGGGCAATAACTCTGCTTCTAACGGTCGAAAATAGCACGGGCGGAGTGTTTACTACAATTGATGTTGATAGAAGCCCTTAATGTATAAAGGTTAAAGGCGATAACTCCTCAAAACTGACGTAAAAGGCCTAAATCTTGAAAAAGCCTTAAATTTAATCAGAAGTAAACTAAACTTTCTCAAGCCTTTCGATTTAGGTCCAATAACATCCATTTTAAGTTTCATCAAAATCGGTTGAAAACTAAGAGAGTAATAGCATATTCAAGATTTTGAGGCAAGGGCAATAACTCTGCTTCCAACAGTCGAAAATAGCTCAAATTCGAACTTGATCTTCGTTTTATGAATATGTATACACATACCGAATTTCATTTTATTCCATCAAAAACTCTAGGTTTTAGAGCGTTTACAAGCAAATGTTGACGGATCGACGGACGGACAGACGGACAGGGGTGCCGACAATATATGTCCACATAGAGAGATGTGGGCATATAAAAAGGTTTGTCAAGTTGAGTCACAAACTGGCATCAGCTGTTCCACAAGAGCATGTCCTTACCTGCTAGGAACATTGGCAACAGATTTAATGTGTGTTTTATTATTCCAACAACTGAAATCATTAATATTTTCTTTGAGAATCAGCCAATGATTCAATAGAAAACCATTTAGTCTGTTAGTAATATTAATCCTGTTAAGATGGACTGACAGGCAATGGTTTCAGTAATGATTAAAGAGTATAAAGACAATATGTTACAATTGGTACAGAAAAAAAACTAGAAAAATGAAAATTAGTTTTAAAATTCTAGAATTTTGATGGACAATGAACAAAAAAGCAATCAATGCCTGAAAGTCCCATGAATATGCATCTGAGGCCAACCCAAAGACAGTTCTAAATCTTATTTTAGTTGCAATCCATAAGAGTTACCAAGAATTTGGGTATTTGGTAATAAATATTCTTTTTTCTCTTTCCAGGTGATAAGATATTAAGTGTTACCATATCATTTGAGAATATTGTTTATGAAGATGCTCTGACCATTCTGAGTTATGCCTCACCCTATCCAGTAAAAGTCACACTCCAAAAGGAGAAAGTCATGGTCACAGATAGACGTAGCAGTCTTACCAACGAAGCATTAAGTCATCCTCTTTACAGAAGTCAATCCTTGGATGCCTTACAGCGTGTCGGAAAGGATTCCTTTAAACCTAAACGTACCTTTAGTGAAATGAAATCAGATTCAAGGAAGGATAGTTCTCTTAGGAAAGAATTATCTAGCAATGTATCTAACAACAGTGAAGGCTTTACCTCAACACCAATAAAAGTTACAGATAAGACCGTGGATGGTAGTAATTTTCAAGTATCAGATATTTTAGTCCATAAGGCACAAGATTCAGGACTGGTGTCAGACAACAAAGTATCTTTAGATCTTTCTGGAATTGGAATGGATAAACAAGACTTTGATATCAGTGGTGTCAAAAGTAAAGTAGATGATGTTTCAGTCGATGTGACAGGAAAAGCTAAAGATGACTTGAACAGATACAAAATTGATATGTCGGATAAACTTGATGGAGTCAGTAGAAATGCTTCTGGACAGATAACAGATAAACTGAACAATTTTGGTGTTCCTAGTGATATCTCCTCTCAAGTAACCAGTGGTGTAAACAGTCAAATCTCAAAGGTGAAAGTGAAAGGAGAACAAAAACTATCAGATGGAGTAACAGCTATAAGGACACCAGATGAAAGGAAATCCAGTAATGCCAGAGAATTTGCCAGTCTTATGGATGAGATGCTAGACATGAATCAATCATCAGATGAACCATTTGGTTCTATGGAGGTGAAAAGTATCTCTAACGGATCATTAGTTGTTGAGGATTCTTTTGATGCTTCAGTATCTACAGAGAACCAAATGAGTCCTCCTACTAAACCAACCAGAAAAAAGAAAAGGTCCAGCACTGCTAGTAATTCATCTGAGGAAATAAGTTTAAGTCAGTCTGACATTAAGATAGATTTTGATAAACACACTGACAAGCCGTCTGTGGTAGAAGATTTAATGACAATTACTAAAGTGAAAGATGTCTCTGCTGCACCTCCATCTGGTGAGATGATTGAAGAAGACTCCATTGTAGCAGAAAAGAAAAAACGAGACATAAGTATTCTGTCTGATAAAATTGAATTTGCTGCTAAAGAAAAAGAATCAAACCAGACTGAGCTACCATCACCAACATTATTACGTAAAATATTATTAGATGGTATGGACAATGTTAAAGTCCATAAAGAACCTGAGCCAGAAGGTGATCCTGTAGAAGAGGAAGTGATACAAGCTGTTAAAGTGAGCCGAGAGGATGCTGCTCCACCATTACCAAGGACTGTTAGATCAGAAGAAGATGGTAAACCAGGTAAAAGAGTTGGTATCAATAATAATCTTAATGATATTGATGATGAATTGATTGATGAAATTATTGCCATGAATTCCCGACCAATTGAACCAGCAAGCCTTCCAGGCCGAAATACCAAAGAAAATTTTGGAGGTGTTTCTTATGACATTCAGGTAGCAGATTTGGACAAAATAGAAAATAAGCTGAGATCTGAAATTGAAAAAGATGGTCCAAAATCACCCACTGGTGGTAAAGCATTTGAAATACGTGAGGATCTCAGTGGTAAATTAGTGAATGTGGACATAATGAAAAGTAATATTTCACGAACTGTGTCTGAAGCTATAATACCTCCTCATTCTAATAATCATGAGAGTGATGATGAAATAAACATTAAAATTTTACGAGCTGGGTCATTAAAGGAAGACAAACACCACATAAAGAATGATCTTGATTGGTCAGGCAAACGTTTGATAAGATCAGGAGAGTTCGCAGAAATACCTCAAGACAATTCAGTGAAAGACTTTACAGATCAGAGCAAAATCAGTGATGGTGGTGAAACAGATAATCATAAAAAAGTGATCATTCCCATTTCTGATGACTTAAAACAGGAACTTATAAAAGAAAGTTTAGATCTGACTAACATGTCAGATATCTCGAGTTCTAATTCTCCTTCCTCTACACGTAGTGCTTCACCACTCACCACAACCAACGGACCTCCAGAGTTATCCCCCCTTGCACTGAAGAAGGCTCTAGACTTTCCTTCTTCTGAAAGTTACAGTTCTTCCAGTAGAACAGGCAGCTATTCTTTTACTCTTATAAATAAATCTGGCGATGAAGAGGATGCTGAATGTTAACTGTGTTTTTTTATAGTCTCTGTTATCTAAAAGAATATTGTGAAACTGCAATGGATCTGGATATTGGAGACTATCATCCTTGCTAGGCCAGTAAAAGGCAGCAATGTATGCAAAACACATGTGCATTAAAGGGAGCTAATAATGTTATTTAAAAAAAAAATGTAAAAGAAATACGATACATTTCCATATTTTCATCAAAAATCATTTATTAGATATCTTCCAGACTTAGCCTAAGGCCCAGACAATGAACCCAGCACTCAAGATATAAAGATATTTTTGACATTTTGAATATAGGTGTAACATTTTGTAAACAGCAACATAAAAGATTTTGAGGATTCTCTGAGGAACAAATTGTATTTACAAAATATGAAAAAAAATATCACTTATATGTGAAAATGTTTGTATATAGAAATAATTGTATAGTTTAATACTTTTAAAAATATAATGAAATATTATGTTAAACTTTTAGATTGAAAGCTTTATCATATCAGTTGATTTGTATTTTTATTAAAATTCTATTAATATTATTAATTAACATATAGATTTTTGATTATACATCAAAATTGATATTTTTAAGCTCCATTTAGACGGGTATTGATTAAAATGAGGGCACAAAAACTTTTTGATGCATTCAATTCAATTTTATTAACTTATTTTATTGATTTTTATATATCATGGACTATATTGTTCAAACCACCTGAATATTTATTTTTTAATTGATCAAGAAAATTTCTGAATTTGATTTCACAATTACCTTCGTAAGACATTTCATTTCATAGATAGACCTACTAAACCCATAGTTTTTAAGATCTATTGATGTCATTATTTGGATTTGTTTTCTTTTTTGTATGTTTTGATTTGCATGAACACATACAGGCGTTGGGTTAAGGGGTATGTTCATGGGCTGTGAAATAACTTGTGGAATAATACCCAAAAAGGGGTGAGAATTTATCATGAAATACATATTGTACAGTTTAATTATAATATATAGGCCTAGAATCAAAAACAAATGTAAAAAATTGTATTATATAACAAAGTTTTATTATTATTAAAAAAGTAAGATCAAAATACTTTATTATTTAATAAATTTTGAAGGTAATAATTTATTATCATAACATGCAAAAATAAATAAAGACATTGGTTTTTGTGAAGAATTCTTCTTTATAATTTCACTCATAAAAGTCTAAATAACAATGCATATTTCATATAAAAATAACTTTGAAAACCTATTAGCTGTAAAAACATGCTGAAAATCTTTAATTTTTTGACTGTATATTTAATACTCTAAACATTCCTATAATATGCAATATCAATCAAACAGTTTTTTATGCGTAAAATTATGTCTCCTTCATTTGAAACATTCAGCCAAATAATTTTATAAATGTGCAACAATTTTTTAATACTATCATTAATTTTTATTCACATTTGGAGCACCAACAAATATAGTGCATATCTGCTTACTCTTCCAGTTGTCCAAACCAGTCTTTAAACTATAGTCAAGCAAAAATATAATTGCATCTTTGGGTCTGATTCAGAACATAAAATCAAAAGGTCTATTTCATAGAATAATAGTAATTGAACAGTATAAGCAAGACTTATTTAATATTCATTACCATTGATTTTACTTCAAAAATTAATATGGACATTCTGTGTTTATGTTTGAAATAAGATTGTAGTGCATAAACATCTTTGCTGGATTATAAATCAAAATTTAACCAACTGATCATGTTTATATTTTGAACTATTCCTGGTGTACAAATTTCTTTGCTCAACCGTATTCTAGATCTAATAGCCCATGTAACTATTAACATTGGTATCTCATTAAAGTGAGGCCATGCAGTTTCATGAAATATTAGAAAATGATCCATGAAAGAGGATAACTCTTTTGAACCAAATACAATGATGATAAATTGATAAAACTTTGAAAACCTGGGTTTGTTTACATTCACTTGTAATGTAATAATGTTAAGCATATCATATCTTTATTTTTAAATGTTTTATGTCTGTAGTGTTTTTAATATATATATAATATTATTTATGTAAATAGAATTTTTTTTTATGTCAATCAGAAATAATATTTTTATATCTTAAAACATTTATAATATTATACAGTTATAATAATAAACATCAATATTCAAAAATATTCTTGTGTTCAACTGTAGCTTGCCTGTACAAAGAACAAGTTTCCTTTGTAAAGCTGACAAACAAGGGAGATAATGCTATTATTTCTAGACAGAAGTAGGTTGGTGCTTGCCTTATTACCATCAAGTTCTAACACCATTCAACTGTGTGTTGTACGAACAGAATTTGAAGGGAAGGATCTAAGCATTATGAGCAAGAGATGATTTTTCATGAGTTGGCTGTGAAGGAGCTATTTATGAAGTGTCCCATACATGTATAATAATTATCTTTCACATCATAAATTTGACCATTCGTCTGATGTTATTGCAATGGTTTTTTCAAACCCATTCGAACAACTGTTTTCATACTGTGAAGGGGAACCCCAATTCTAAGATAGCTTTTTGCAAAAAGGTCCTCCTTTTTGACCATCAGAATGCATAATGGGAAAAAAATAACAATAAAAACTTTATTAACAACACAATAATCTCATAAATTAAAATATCACAGTTCATAAAAAAACTAGGACGGCAAGGACCGAAATTCAATAACTAGATATTGACTTTAAGCAAAAAACACATTGAATATATTATAATCTATAGAATTGTTTATCCTTACAGGAAATGCCAAGAGAAGCCAGATAATTTTTAAGCTGGAATGGCTAGTTTCCAGTTCTTTACATATTTAATATAAATAATTTTGTCCACTGTATGACACAATCCATGTCATATTGCAAATTCTGATTAATGTGGATATTGAATTAATTAATTATAAATTCTACACTGCAGGATGGAATGTTTTACTTCACAACAGAAAATATCAATATGGAAATAGAATATGTATTCCTAAATCATCATCCAAGAACCAGACTATTTTATATCCACAAAAGTAGTTTTCGATAAATTTGTTTCAATTCTGATTAATTTGGATATCTCCACATGTTTTTGATATCACATTACTATGTATACATTTAGAATAATTTTTTTTATTTATGATGGTTGAGAAATATGAGTCTAGCCCACAGTTTGAATACAAAACTTAAGCCTCACAACAAATACTAAAACAGTATTGAACATGTTTTGATAATACACATCTTGGGTATCATTTACTGGGTTTTCTTTCCGGCATATATTATCATTTATGCTACCCAATCCATCTGCTACAAGTCTTCATTAAAGGGATGGATGCAACATTTTGGGGGGTTGATTTGAGTTTTGAATATATGTAAATAGTCTTCAGAAGAACCAGAAATGTGCGAAAATCGCATAATTCCTTCAAAAATATCTCAAGAGACTAAGCTACGATTGGTGAAAGGAATGGTGCACCTATCCGTTTAAGAAACAATCAAGAGGACACAGTCATGATCTATATCACAATTTTGACTCACTTATCCTAAATACTGTTTGCCGTGATTTATTCTGGAATTCTTATGAATGATAAACTACAATTGTATCAGAAATATCTTTTCTACAGATAGGACAACCATCTCTTCTATTAAACAACATCTTGGCACATTGATTACATGTTACCATATGATTACATGGTCTTAATACACAGTCACGTGATCTATCCATACAAATAGCACAATCGTGATCCACCTCAGTTGGTACGATAGCTGAAATATAATAGATAATATCATAAATGGAATAAACATTTAGCTTCTCAAATCACAACTAATCAAATCAACATTCAACACACTTCTTTAATAACAAAGTACATAACCTTTCAATATCTGATGATGACACGTGTAATTGAAACCTTAAGTACTTTGTTATTAAAGAAGTGCATACCATAATATATTCCCTTGTTTTTTCTGTTACATTGTACTTTCAACTTCTAAATGTCCTTCAAATCTTAGTAATACGAAATTTCTTATATTAAATAACCTCATATTGCATTTGTAGTTCAAAAACTTTGAATATCTCATTACTTTAGGGTCAGTTATGCAGAGTTTTTTCACAAATCTTTTTAAATCACTAGCAATAACCCAGAAGCATTGAATTATCACACTCCTCTCGTGTCTGAAATTTTCAAAGATATATAATAAAGGTATCATCAAATTCACACTAACATAGTCTCATCTACATAGACAAATTTGAACTTGACTAAGATCTCATTAATATATACATGCATACTGAGTTTCATCAATATCTGATAAAAGCTATAGCCCCCATCATGTTTACAAGTCAAATTTGGTGCATTTTTACTAAATCACTCAAAATGAGACAAAATCATTAGGGACTGAGATGTTATCAATTTATACAAGCATACAAGGTTTTATTAAGATCTGAAAAAAAACTGTAGCCCCTATCTCGTTTACATGAATTTGGTGTTTCTACTAAGTCAAGGGCAATAGCCCAAAAAGCCAAATTTGAACTTGATCAAGATCTTACCAATATATACATGCATACCAAGTTTAATCAAGATCAGATTTAAACTGTAGCCTCTATGGTGTTTACAAGCAAATTTGATACGTTTTTATTAAGTCAAGGGCAATAAGTCAAAAACTTTTCACTCAAAACGAGCCATATACAAGATTGACTGGGATCTTATCAATATATACCTACATCACAAGTTTCATTAAGATCGGACAAAAATTATCATGTTTACAGGCCAAATTTAACACATTTTTACTATGTCAAGGGCAATAACTCAAAAACGGTTAACTCAAAACCAGCTAAATTCAAACCTGACAGAGATCTCATTAATATATACTTGCATACTGTATTTCATTCGATCAAATAAAATTGTAGCCCTTATCATGGCAATAACTCAAAATCCATTTAACCAAAATGAGCCAAATTTGAACTTGATCAAGATCTCATCAATATATACATGTATACCATGTTTCATTAAAATCAGATAAGAACTGTAGTCCTTATTGTGTTTACAAGAAATGTGAACGGACAGACGGACAGACAGGGGCGACAGCAATATACGATCACATGGACATATAAAAGTATAAAAGTAGCTTTGCAGTACTGAAAAACGAGATGGAGAATTTGTGAAGATTCAACAATAATCTGAGATTGTGCACAGGGTTGGATGTGTTACAAAATTAACTAGATCTTCAGTTTCCATCAAGGGTTTCATGAGTCAAAGTTTAATGATTTGAAACAATGCACTTTTAACGATTTAAGAATTTTCAAGCAATCCTTCTTTTTTTCAAATGAAAACATTAACGTACCATCTTCTTCATCTTGTCTTGGTATCAGGTTACCACGGTGACCTAACAATGGTAGTAATGTACTGAGATGGCCACTTCTATTCATGTCAAGTATTTGAGCTATTCTATCTGTAATGTAAATATCAGTAATGGAGATCAAACGCTTTTGATCATTCAACAGATCTTACCCCTATGTATTGTACAATGATTAATAACCAAGTTTCAATGAATTTGATGTGATGTTTAATTTACCTTTCTTTCTGCTCTCTCTCTGTTCTTCTGTTAAAATCAATGGCTGTCCACCCGATCGAAAAAATAATGTTTTACCCATTTTCTCTAGAAAAAACCGCACTAGCGCGGGAAAAAAATAGAATAATTGCAAATATCAAGCAAAGAGTGAATCAAACTTGTATATGAAATAGCTTGTAAAAGACTTTATGCCTATCAAGCACTTTTACATAAATTTTATTCATGTTCTTTATATAAGAAAATAGAATCTATCTGTACTGAATATGTTAATGCAGACTTGCTGTATCCTGTTACAGTATATACAATTTCAAGTATATGATAATGATTTTAAATGATTAAGTTACAACAGCCATTGGGGTACAGTTTGTCTACAATGAGGAAACTCACCTCTTTCTATAGTTTTAGGTGAGGTATGTAAACCAGCTGTTATCTCAACTTCTGGTATATAATACACTGGATATAAAAACCTTAACCCTATTGTTCTCTGTAACATAAAACAATTCTAATTACAGATGAATCAGGTGCCAGATTTTTATTCTGAAAAGTGATACATAAACAATTATTTAGTTCCCTATATCTTATGATGTGAAATACAATGACCTATATCATAAAACTTGCCTCTAGTAAATGTGTATGTTCTGTAATATCAGTAACATCAAGTCGTAGTGTATTTGTTGTTATAATGGCATCTGGCTTACAGAGATGAGATATTCCTGAAAAGTGAAGCAGAAAATAGTTGTATTATCGCTACAGAAGACTGAATTATAGGGTTTCTTTTCCAGATATTGTTCCAGTTTCCGTTACATTACATTACCATGCAAATATGTAACACCAGTACAATATCTATATAGTAATATGAATGAAAAGTAATGGAAATTCTATCAATCTTTAGCTTGAGGAACACAGAATTGTCAAGGGGGATTACCCCCTAATAACTGTCCTTGCCCATGCCAGACTATACGAATATCTCCTTGAGGGGAACAACTTTCGAACTGCGTAAATGTCAATACTTCCCTCTAGCGCTGGGTTGGAACACTGTCTTTTTGTGGCCATAGAATATCTCAGTCAGTAGCAAGTTTGAATGTCGTCTGCTGGTCGATTAGGTGCCTTTAATTGGGTTCGAATCCTCCTCAAGGTAACAAAAATTCTGATGCCTGTGCCATTTTTTGTATTTTCAAGAAGAGCATTCAATTCATAATGGTGAAAGTTAAAGCATATTTTTTAAAATACTGCAAAACTCACTTCGAAAAATATCTTTTTTAGCTTCTAAATCTTCATTTATACATTCAAATATAATATCTGCTTGTGAAACTGTTTCTTCAAGTCTACTCAAACATAAAACTTGACCCTACAAAATAAAATCACAAAAGATTTATTCAGGGGAATTCATTGTATTCATATACCTTTACTATAAACTTATCCTCACAAACAATTTTTCAAATACAGATCATTTGATAATGTTTCTTTTACATTGGTCCAGAACCATGACCTAATCTAATCCTTGATTAAATAATATTACTCAGATGTAGCATCCATGTCACTTGAGCCATTTTTAAAGTATATCACTTACAATAAAATTATCATGAGGTAAAAGTCCATCCTGTTTTAACATTTTCCTATCTTCCTGTAAGCGTTCAAACACCTTGTTTAAATTATCTAGGTTATTATCTGTTATTTTTACACGATGACCATGATATGCCATTTCACCTGCAAGAATATATTATCATTATGACATTAAAAAACAGTACTGTAAAAATTGTGCTTGTCACATGAATTAAGGAGTGTTTAAGAAATATCAAATCAGAGTCTGAAGTTAATTGTTATTTAGGGTTTCACTTGAACAGGGACACAGACTAAAGAGGATCACAAACTGAAACTCAAGAGACTCAGAGTAACAACTTCAGTTCCTGTTTATTATTTATATAATAATAAGATAAGATAATTTTCATATTCAAGACATCTGATTCTTCAAATATAGAATGTAACATTAAAATCAGTTTTGAAATAAATCAGAAAGATCACTGTATTGCTGTTTTTTTTAAATTTTGATATTATTTGTTAATTTAGTTTAACAGGTGCCATAATAATCGTTTTTGTTGTAAGGTTCACTCTAGAAAGAGAAAATATTAATAATTTTATACCTGCTATTTTAGATCCCATCAAACCACTTCCAATAATGGCAACTTTCACCATTTTATCAATGATTATACAGGGCAATAATTCAAAAATCAACTTTCATCCATGAAATCTTCTGCAAATCAACAAAAATGGTAATGATGTGTTGCTTCTTTGGATATTTCTATTGTAGTAGATTATAAGCACTCTTTCAGCTGAACATCTGCAACCTGTAATGCAACTGATCGGTAATTAGGTATTGTATAGGTAATGGATAATTGTTGGCCTACATATAATTCAAATATAATTTTCACAGATAAACAGTCAGCCAGCCCTGTTGTTAGGGTGGGGTCCGTGAGGGCTGGACCCCAGCAAGTGAGAATTAAACCCCAGCAAAACCTTCTTCAGTTCAGCAGAGATTTTGTAAAAAATCAAAAAGATTTTGATACTCTTTTGGCACCTCAAAATTGTCAGAAATGAGTTCTCTGGGACTTTGATTCTCCAAATTTTGTGAGTACAAAATCTGAGCCCCAGCACCGATTCATTCCTGGCAGTCAACGTTAAACGTGTGTAAACATTCAATGGTTAATTGTGCTTAAACTCGGTATTTAGACCAACCCAAATTATAATCATTTGTAGAATAACTCCTAATCAGTTACCGTTTTAATTTCTTTAATTAAGATTAGCCTTTATCAACCCAGTGATCGTTTTAATCTCAGAACAATTCAGCATCTTTGTCAAACGTTCGTTTTATCTTAGATAATTAATTGATTCAAGTAGGCCTACCTTGATTATTTACTATAGTTAGGTAGGTAGATGACAAGTTAACGTTCGCTTCCAGCGGATGCTGATATCGCAAACTAGGTAGTTGTTGGTAGTCGTAGTAGTTGGTAGTTGGATTGGATTTACTATAGTTTCACCACTGAGCTATATATAGGATATCTATGAGTTTCACCTGTTTCAAGGGGAATAACTGTAATAACATAAATGGCTACAGACTATTATTATAAAATAATTACTCCCCTTTGGCCACATTTTTCAAATTTGCTCAATTACAGTCAAATGATAATTTTAAATACATTTTTTTTTACCATTATTTTTACGTTTTTTTTCTTTGCCGAAAATACTGAAGCCGAGAATAATCAGTTTCGTACGTTACCGATATATACATAGGCCTAAAACCTGTTAAATTTAGTTGTTGCCACTCTTTCATAAAATTAAAAAGCAGTTACATGAGTACAGACCACAACTGTGCCTAAATTATCCCCCCTTGACCACAAAATATAATCGACTTACTAAAAAGGGAAATGTTACTCGTATGAGTTTATTTGATTTCTTGCGATTGATGAAAGCCTTATTAAATAACCAAAACAGATGAAAATAAATGCGAAATAATGCTAAATTGTAGCCAAGCTTGAAAACTTTACTAGAGACTATATAATGCCGTAGATAATAAGCGCCTAGCGTTAGATTAACTGTAGCTAAAATTGCCGTAATTGCTCTCTTTAAGGTGATTGCCTATTTCTTTAAATTGTGGAAGTAAATAGCATTACTTTCTCTGAACGAGTTTTGTGTTGCTCTGAAACCCATTAAATAGATCTTAATTTATCATTATTTTTAAATTATCATTTTTCATTTTTAGCTTATATATACTTTAAGTCGTTGCAGCATTTTGAATGAAATTTTAATTTAGTGCTTTGCCATTTTGTCTGTTCCGAAAGCAGTAGGCTAGCTACACCTAGGGATATATAGTTTATTGGTCTCAAGCACCGAAAAAGTCCGCTTCGATTTACAAATGCCGACAAAATACATGCATCTATAATAGGCTACTAGGCTAAGCCTTTACTGTTGAAATCAAGAGGTCATTATTTTTGCAACAACCGCCCTGATACAATGCAGGACTTTCAAGTATTAAGGAATTATATCCCAGAAAATAAAACATAGTTATGAAATACAAAATTATTTGTATGTTAACAACAGACAAATGAGGCAAGTTATTATAATATGCCTGTCAATTATCAAGGTATAGTATATTACCGGTATTATGATTGCCTACAAGGCAGTTCATTGGTTAAATAGGGGGCGTGACACATTTACTATGCAACGGTATGCTTGATGGCTTCGTCATCGAAATCGGTACCCAATTTAGACATTTTTCCGGTATCTTTGGGTGAATACGTTAATATTTTCTTATTTCAAGAGGTGTTCTTATATTGTTTAATTCATGAAACTATGATAATTTTGTGTTGAAGATGAGTCCCGGAAAGTCTCGTGACTCGTGTACCGTCTGCTACGTTACCCCACGAGAACTGGGCGAGCTGACGATGGCTAACATGAATTTTGACGGCATGAATGGGTCAGATATGGACACTTCTGATTCTAGGAAAAGGCCATTGGATGGAGAAACAGATAACGGGGTCACTAAACGATCTAACCAAGGCGGAGGTTAGGGTGCATCTTATATATTTTGTGTGTTATATCGAAGTTTTTACACCTACTAAGCTGCGTTGAGAACCAATATGGCGGCTTTCCGCCGGTGAAATTATTCGTGGCCCACTGAGAAATTCTTGGAATTTCAAAGATAATTACGAAATTATTTATACTAATTTTATTTGAACTGTATAATGAATAATTTCTTCAAAATTTTGTGTTTTTAGCAATGGTTTAAGTGGATTTGATTAGTGTAAAATAACTGTATATTTGTCTTGGCGACAACCTGCGCAATAGCCGATTTTATGTAAGGGCATGCATGTACAAACGTGTCTAACTTTTAGGCTCGATTCTTTTCGTACAAGCCTATATTTCAAGAGTGTCAGATACAGCGCGACCTTGTCCATACTCTACTGAGAAAATAGGAGCTCTTTAAGTGGCTATAGGCCTTTCCATAATAGTGAACATCACTGAACGGGCAAGCAGACGAACCGAGGTCAGACAAGTTTGCGCGAAGGACGGTCACTGTGAACGAATTATGACGCTCCTCGACCTAAATTGTTGCTTCAATAACGTGGATGTGAACATGGTAGATTCTCAGGACGAGGATAAATTTCACATATGGAGAGGTAAATTTCATTTTACCCAAAATTTACTCATTATTTCAATCATTTATCCTTTCATTTCGCCATCGAAAAATTGATCATACTCGGTCCGGACTCGTTCTGGGAGATCCACCCACCAATCGGTATTTTAAGTTATGTTGACTCCGACCGTCGGAAGAGATGACAATTTGTGAATGCATGCATGACGGGACCACGTGTCCTTATTGACTTAGTCCGTGTGTGAACACACCTCACTGTAACCAAGACCCCCATTCCCAATTTGGTTCTCGAACCTGTAGATTGGCTAATGAACTTTGTTACCAAAAATAGAACATCCTTCTGAAACGTGTAAATGACAGCACCATACGGTGAGGTGGGCGAAACTCGTTCTCAGTGATAAGAAATCTGTTCACGTTTGATGATGAAATTTCCAATTTATAACAGTTTTTCAGGTATAAACGAAGTTAATGATGCAGGCCCGTGGCCTTATGCTTTATATATTGTTAGTATTACCCTTGAAATAACCGGCTTGTTTGGATCATCAATGAAAATGCTGATCGAACGTTCCATATTGAAATTTTAACATCATGTGATCACATTCATGATAGCTCAGTGGAAGAGAGTAAGGTGTTACCTTTATTTTCTGAATGAAAATTTATTCTCACAGATAAGCTTATGATTTGGCTGCAAACATGGCATACTTGATCACAGTTTGTGTAAGCTTACACCTTGAGTCAAGTGCATAGACACAAAAGGCTGAGGCTTCCATTTTGTTACTATCAATATCATTATTTTTATGGCTTAAAAAAATTCCTTATTTCTAATTAACAATGTGACAAACATTTAGACAGAAAAATACACTTGATCCATATGGAATTTGCCAAACACTAAAAAAAAATTGCCTTTTATTGGAAACTAATCCTATGGAATACTTCTAAGAATCGAGAAGTAGTGGTACAAGGTACAGAATTGTGGAGAATAAGAGTTTCGTTCATGGTTTTTTTTTTTTTAGTTTCTGATGCTTTACAAACTTTAAATTATATCTATAGATCCAAATAAAACTATCTAAATAGGAAATAGTTTACAAGATCGGGACTAATTGACTGGACTTATACTGCAAGGCATGCATCAATAACACTTCACGGTTTTCGACCTAATAATGGAAGATGGCATGCCCACTGGACCTGGCTGCGGTTTTATTAGTGGGTATCAGTATTATGTATGTGATGCATAAAATCATTGGTTTCTGCCGTAAATCCACATTCCTTTCAATATCATTTAAACCATTGCTAAAAATATACCGCCACATCAAATCATATTCATGAATTTGTGTTAGTACAATTATTTTTGAATCATGATATTACATTCTGTTCATGTTCTCATTGATCTTTATTGTAATGTACCTAGAATTGTATTGATGTTGTTTCTCTCATACATGATGTACATTATCATAATTATAGTAGTATTACTGAATAGTTGATGCAGTTTGTATACCATTCCATTTTCATATAATTGGCATTCATTATCATATATAATTTTAGAATTCTGTGGAAAAACCATATATAGGGTGGTCTAGGTCCTGCAGATTGGTCTATGGAATGCCAAAAAGAAAGTGCATCAACTATTCAAATATATTGAATAATGATTTTATAAATCTGTTCATTATGCAAGTTTATCACGATATTGCACCTTTTATGATTGTAATGTGGTATGAGCTTATATCAGGTGACATGCAATTTCCATTATTAGATTTTTGATTTGGTAACAACTTGTCATTTGAACATAATGTTCAAAAGTCATATCTGCTTGAAACAAAAAAAAATCAGGTAATGGGTTAGTCAAACTAGACAAATTACAACCAGTTTGGCACCACAAGCTACTATTTTCTAATCTTATTTGATTCCTGAAATATATTGTTCCTCGAAAGGAATCCATCTTTCAACAAAGAGGTTGTTTTTGGCAACGGCAGATAAACATTTGCAACATGACAGAAAAAAATTAGATGCCAGTAGATAAACCTGAGTCTCACCTGTTGAATGTCAGGAGACAGAAATATTGCTTTCCTTACTGGAAAACCTTCTTGTTATACTTGTATATCTAATATGTTTTCTTTATATTCTATGATGAGAATGCTATAAAGAAGAATCTTGTACATACACGCCTTCCAAGCCCTACTTCAGTATTTTGCAAGATCTTTCTGAATATTGATTACATTGAAATATGTAGCTAGATGCTGAAGGTTGTTAAATACTTTGATAATGAAAGGCACATGATATATTTCTAAACTGTACCATATTTTTACATCATCACCATTTTTGAGCAAAATATCTCTGAAATAATATATTAATATGGTGTTGGTAAATTTTTATTTTTCAGGTCATGAAACCTATCCAGAAGGCCAATTACCAGATACAGGTAAACTAAATTGTTTCTTTCTATTGCCCATGCTTATTCCAAGCACATATATGATACATAGAAGATAGATTTTTGCTAATTAGTGACAGGCGACATCCATAGTGATACTGCAATGCATCTTTGCAATGTCAAACATTTACGATCTGTGTCAAATACCTTGACTGCAAAAGTGTCTTGTTTCACAGAAGTTTGTAAATGCAGATATTTGATTACGCTAACGAATTCAACCAATCATAGCCCACAACAGAAAAACTGCTCACAATTTGACTGCAGATGTATCCAATCAAATTGCTGTATTTGCAAACTTCTGTGATACAAGATACATGGCCATTACAGTCAAGGTATAAGATGACTGATGATTAGCATGAGCATGTCAATGTATGATAAATTTGATATATCTTCTGCTTTAAATCTTGAACAAGTTACAGATAAGTCTTGACGTAAGAAAGTTGTAGATAAAAACAAGTTCACCTGTGTTATTTGAAAGTTACAAGATGACTATATCATGTGTTCCAAAATGTTTGTATGGAATAACTAATTCATACTATTTTAACTGCATGTTATGGATAATGTGTGAGGTAACTACACCATCGTGTATATATATATGCCAAAATCTCTTTAGCAGTACTTACTTCCTCAAAAAGGCTCTAAATATACAGTTTTAGGCCGATTTTTTTCAAGCTTTTTAAGTATATAAGTTAAGTAAGCTTATACAATGAAGATCAAGATCCAATTTGAGTGCTTGTAAATATCAAACCAATGATATTTATACCTTGTCATCTTGCATATTGAAAATGTGATTTAGTTTTAGGATATGATCATCCTCAATAGAGCAACACATCTAATCAATAAGTAGATGGGGTTTTGGATTTTATCCAAATAATAAATGTACAAGGCTCTGAATCTTAACCAATCTGAATGACCTTGTTCATACGAGAAGGGATACTCGTACTCATGTAGAACAAGTTTATTGTGTTTTCTTATTTACAAAACAAAACAAAAATTGCTATGCGCAAGCAAAATCATGCTACATAAAAGTAAGCATATGAAACAAAATAATAACTTGATATGACCAGATTTAATGTTTAAGGTCTAAATTCCTGATTTACTGTTCTGTGATATCAGTAAGTAATGGAACAAAGAATCAGTATATCATATCTGTATTTTCATGAGGTTCATTAACTTGAAGGCGTTAAAAGAAATTAAATTTTGGCACAGAAATATGTCCAATTAGGAAATAATGGAGGATCAAGTAAATAAAAATCATAAACAATTATGGCAGCGATGATGTTGATTTTTGTAGCCAATTAGATGATCGAGATGTAGAATCAATGTTAAAGTGCAATGAGACCAAAAATTAAACTTCATCAAACTGCCATTGTGTTGTGCTAAACTTAGTTCTCTGTAACTATAAGTGTCCCATGTTGGATTTTTTGGGGTGTAGTGTATAATTAATTATAAAAATTAAAAAAAATTGCAAGTGGAAAATCAATTTACAACATTTCATAACTACATCACATTTCGTTTTCCTAGACAGATTTTAGGGCCAATTTTGATTGGAAAATATTGAGCTATGAATTCGTAATTTCCCTCACTTGTATTACCACAGCTTTGAAAGTATGAAGAACTGGTTTGTCTGTCTTAATTGAATTTGAGTTCCACTATCTGTGGTTAATATCCACAGATGAGGCTAAAAATCAGTGTCTTTGCACTTAAAGCAGGATTATGCTCATGGATAGGTTCTGGGGATACATAGTAACCTGCTGCAGACTTACCTAAAGATAGCTAACTGTGATTCAAATAGTCATCCTCTTTGAAACAGTCTGATCATTTAGCCTCATCTGTGGATATTTGACTTGATTTTCCAGGCTTAATAAAAAATAAAACTTCAAATTTTTTATATTGTGTAGAAAACTTGTTGGGCTAAATTTTTCTCAAGGTCAAAAAGGCCACAAGGTCAAATTCGAGGTCAAAGTGCATATCCAAGGTCATCAT